AAGCGTGTTGACAGAGATATCAAATTAATCAAGATCCAATAATTCGATTTCGAGATATCTCGTAAGACGCGACGGGGCTATTCATGAAGAAGACGCCGGCTGATTATCAAGCCCTAGTCTGGGATAGTAACAGGCAAGGAGAGCCAGCAATATGTCTGACGTATGAGAGCGAGTTAAATTAAAGTTTGTTGGCAGCGGACGGGGGAAACAGGCCGCGGCGCCTTGTTTCAAAGCCGTGCGTTAACTGAAAGCCCAAAGTAATCTCACGTACCGATCCTATCGTGGCTCGTGCCGTACTTTAAACGTTGCGGTGGCGCAGAAAGGCGTTATCCTCGATTTTTCCCGTAACAAAGAGCAATTCCGTTCCGCAATTAATTGCCGCCGTTGCGCGCGTCCGTTCCAAACTGCGTCCCGCGCTTTAACGGCGCTGATCGTATCTTATTTTATACGTATATAAGCGGCAGAGAAATTACTCGGATTGTGCACGCCCCAGTTATACCTCCTACGGGCAAATATAGCCCTTAAGCGGCCCTTAAGCGGCAACGTACAATTCATAATTTACAACGCGTTTATGTTTCAGTCTTCCATGAACATCTTTATATAACGGTATCCTTTGACGAAATAACAGAGACAAAGAGTGAATGGGAAGACGCCCAGCGCGGCGTCTCACTTTCAAATGCGTTTAAATTTAATCCCCAATTAAATCTGCAGTTAAATTGTGACATTTTATTTTCAGGAAGTCTCGCGATTATAAGAAATTATGCTAGACTCTCTTGTGTGAGGTGTGGAAAGTCGTTTTTATAAAATTTATCATTATACGCGAATTTGCACAACAGCTTTCCCAACTTTATTAGCCTTGCTACCGTACGATGAATATTTCGTGAACCACGCTACGCAACATATATTTATAAGCTTATGACATTACGGGATTTCTAATCAGAATTTATATTTCGAAAACATGAAACTTGCATTTCGGGCCGATGTGCAATTATTCCCCCGTCCGCGACGGAAAACACGTGTAATTTTCCGCCGAGTTTCTCACTATCATTGTCACGCCGACTAACTTTACACACGTCGACGACCCGCTGTCAGAGTAGCGAAGTATCAGACGGTCTGATATCCGACGTTGCTTAGACATTCGCTGCTCAAATATTCCTGGGATTTCTGCACGACGTGACGTCCTCACATCTAACCGCTGTGTATGCACGAACTTACGTTTACAACGTACGCTTGCGGAAACGCGTAACATGTCGTGTAATCTCGTTTGTTAATGGAGTTTCTAATGACGCACTTTTGCACGCTTGCAATTCGTTATTCTACATTACAAGATCAAATTGATTTTTCCGTGCGGTAAATATTTATTCATAAACATTATTATGTGTCAGTTACGTGAAATATCGTATGCATTATATATCAGTTAAGTAACACTAATTTAAATAAATGTTTTATCGTCGCATATAAATAGAAATAATCTGGAAAAATAGGTAGATCAATTGCTATTCGTTTCAGCTGAACTTTTCGCGCGGTTTGTCCTTTTTTTCTCTCCACGGGAAAAAAATTATAGGCTTAATAAGAGAAGAAACAATTTTCAGAATGTGAGAAAAGAAAGTAGCGTCTTAATGTTAGAAATAGTTTTGAAAGAAGGAACATTTTGTATGTTCAAATTTTAATTAATATTAATACTACGACAATATCTGCGGAACGAGTTCCAAGCGTCATTAATGAACATTGTCCGTGACTACACCGGTGACGCAAAATGTGCGCGTATACGCATTCTCCTGACTGTCAACTCACTTCCTGCGGGCGCAGAGAGCTTTTTAGCGAACTGTCAAACTCCGCCGAACCACGAATTACTCATTCCAACACGTCCACTGTACTCCAATGTATTCTCGCGTGGATCAAAGATTCCGGAATTCCGTGGGCACAGACTCGAAACATCGATTCTCGACCACGAAGTACCGAGAGATCGTCAAACGATTGAGCGACATACTCGGTAGACTCACGTTTAACAGCTAGTAAACTGCTGAATAATTTGTTAGCGGCAGTGTTGAGAATATTTTTTGCAAAAATGTTTCGCGTCATCTCAATGATAATATCCTCTGTATATTTGCATTTATTTCTCACAGACGTAGAGATGAAATATTTGATAAAACTCAAATAATTATTTTTTAATTAGCATATTTTACGTATGGAGAGAATTAATGCGCAGTTTGATAAATATGATTAATATTCCCTTTCAATTAAGAGCCGAATTCATAATTTGATATTTGGGGAGAGGGGAGGGGGATAATAAATTGCTTTTTTAAAAATTTTCAACTGCATTTGAAGAACTACATTTAAAGTCCAAATTTATAAAGATGGATTACCGATTTCAAGTACGTTTCAAACACAGACAAATGTTGGCCCTAAACTGCCACCGTTCTTTATTAAATTTGACAAACTTTTTTTATACTGGCGCATTTATGAGAAAAAGACCTGTGAATAAATTACGATTCTTGAAAATAAAATTTTTGATTATTTCTACATCGATTTTACAATATCCGATTTTATAATGCATTATTCAGATCAAAAACTTTATTCGTAATTTCGATATAGATATACAGGTGATTCCGATTCGGACTACAGTGCGACAAATAATTATTTTCGTCCAATTGTCTCCTCACCGAATGCAATGTGCATCGAGTCACCCGACCGGAAGACTGGCGACAGCTGAGACAATGGAAATAAGATGGCGTCCACATTGGTACCTTGTCCCATCGTTAGGTCAACGTACCATAGTGCGAATGTTAGTGTGCTTCTCCTCGCGTAAGTTATGTACGTAATTACGTACGTAACTTATTGTTAGCGCAATGCGTCTATTTATTGCAAAATACATACGTGCGCGGGCGCATTGGAAGTTTCCGAGCTTCCTCGGTGGTCGCAAGCGAGCGCAATATGTGCTGCAGCTTATTGGCCGGCAGTTAATACCGAAGTTGCGTAACTATACGATGCCCCGTTGCGAAAAGGTGTCCCTTTAAGGTTTCCCTTTAAAATAATTACTTCATGAGATGTATTTTCTTTGCCCACCCTATCTCTTTCCTTCTCTTATTTCTGTTAAACTTTAAAATTCAATATTGCTTATATTTTCCAAAGATAATCGGAATTTCATCGTGAGTAACACTGAAGTGCTACATAAGATATAGATGTAAGTTTGATATATAAAGTCACCACATTATTAATGTTCATTAATATAGAGGGTGCCCCAAAATTCGCGCATTCGGAGTACAGAACATACTTTATGCTAAAACAAACAACTTTTTCTTTTAGCAAAATTGCGTCCGATAAATAATTTTTGCGCTTATTTGTTAACTTCAACCTGCTTCCCTGCAAAAACTACTTATCGGACGCAATTTTGCTAAAAGAAAAAGTTATTTTTTGTGCTAAAACAAATATCTTTTTCCTATAGTAAAATTATATTCGATAAATAATATTGCCTTTACTCGTATAACTTCAATCTACCCTTCTGTAAAAACTACTTGTCAGACGCAATTTTGCAAAAGGAAAAAGTTGTTTATTCTAGTATAAAGTATCATGTCCTATACTCCAAATGCGCGAATTTTGGGATCCTGTATATTAAATTACACAAATGTGTAAAATAAAATAATACACATATAATTTGTATTAAATTAAAAAAAATAAGCTCTTTTATTTTCATTCTTATTATATTTTTATTCTTCTTTACACTTGCTCCTATTTTTCTTCAATGTGTTGAATTAATCCTTACAGTACAAGATACAATTTGATGCCTCATCCGTCCAAATATGGGTCACTATCCGTCCATTTGTTTCACTTATTCAGGGCTATGTTTAGATTCTTACCTGAGTACCACCCAGATATCACTCCATCCTTGTTATTTACCGACTATTAAACAAGAATGACATGACACCTGGAGAACACCCGGGTGGGAATCCGAACACGCCTCAGAATGGTTCAAAAAATTTCTAAAAATTCACCAACATGCTTTCAACTTTCTAAAATAAATATTAAAACTTCATTTTGAAAAATAATAAAATGTATAATAGTATAATTTATAATTATCGAAAGACTCAAAGAAGCTTAAACGAACAGAAATCGCTTGGTCACTAGTGACTCGATCTTGTGCGGTAAGGGTTAAAAATAAAAATGTACAAAATTTTAATAAATATTTGTTTGAATAGTACAAACTAAATATCTAAATGTAAATATTTATTATATTTATTTGGTACAAGAACATTGATTTATCTATATTTTCTGTTATTGAGTAAATATTTATTTATTGTAAATAAATGTTTAGTTAGCACTATCAAAAAAAAATATGTATTTAGATGTAGCAAGTCTTCTTCTTAACGCATCATTCACGAAAACGTGTATATAGATATGATATATATGAATGTCTGTGCAGTGAGTTCGGGTCCATAGATTTGTTAAGCCCAAATGACTATGCAAATCGCCAGATCAATCATCCCTGTGGGAGTATATGCATAAAACGCAAAACTTAAATGGTGAAGACATCTCGTGGAACATCCGTTAGATTTTGAGCAAAATCCCCAACAAACACGTGAATCTTTTTCAGATAAATATTAGAACTTTACAATATTATCCACGATAGATACAAATTCAGTCACTGAAAACGTGGTTTATGTTCAGAGAACGAAAAGGATCTCAAAACACGATGAACGTCAGTCGATGGTACAGAACTCGACCTACGTGTACGCGATCAATACAAGCTTTAGAGGAAAGTACTACCATCTCTTCCTGGTCCCTGGAAGCTCGTCATGATGACTGCGATATTTGCGTTATGCTCTGAATTTGTTTGATCGATAACGAAATTAAATACCTTTAGTAGTCCATATTGGTCCATATCGGCAATCACTACAGAATACCGAGAATCGTGACTTAATTAAATATAAAAAAATTGTGTCAGTTGAAACAAACTCATCGATCTATTACACAGTGTATAAAATACCATAAAATTGTTAAAAATGTCTCATCCATCAAGATTGAAGCAACCCAAACATCGCTATTTAATGCAAAAGCTACGTGTTGTGGAGGCAACAAAGTATGTCAAATAATACAAAAATAGAATTTTTTAGTATAAGAATATAATGTATATTTAATATAAAAATATTTTTCAAGCGTTAGATAAATTTTACTATTAATCATATAGTTTAATTATATTTTTTTTTATTATATTCAATTAATTAATTAATTTCTTTATTAAACACAATATTTTACAGAAAAAAGTTCCTAAAATAAATATATATTTTATTAAATTATTACATTAAAAATTAATAAAAAATTTCTTGTCAATATATAATGTATAACCTCGCTTCAGATGGGATCGTCCTTTTCGTAAATCGAAGGAATACTGGAAGAAGTTTTGCGACGATGAAGAGAAAAGATTAATTAGAGTAAGAAACTCATTTCCAAAATCATCCTACCTTCCTATCATTCCTATTTTGCGCGATTTTAAAACAGACGTTCGCGATATCACAGATTCTTCCATTCCTCGAAGGTTCGATGAAAACGTACTTCTCGTAGATTCGAAATCCTTCGAAGCGCCGGATATCTCTTCAACAAGAGACGAAAATTTTATTTCTAATGCTAGAGAGCCAATAGTTAAAATCTCTCCTCCCACCCCAAAGAAACCATCAAAAAATGACGCAATTACAATCGCTAGGACAAATGCAGAGGAACAACATACGCTTGTTACTATTCAAAATAAATCTAGAATCAAAAAAGTAGATTCGTATAAAGAACCAGAATCGCTTGATGTTTCTTCCAAAAATTCTATCATACCACATGACGGATTGAGAGATGGAAGAATATATTCAAAGAGGACGTGTCCTTTTCATAGATATGAACCCGTGGTGAAAATTTTTGACGACGATATCAAAAGATATTTGACGGAAGATCCGAGAGCAAACGTGTCGCTGGGAGAAAAATTGAACAAATTGCCACATGTGCAGGATGCGTCTAAATATGATAAAGATAAGAACAGAATAACTTCTATCGAGAGTAAGAAGATCAAAAGGATTACTGTTCCACAAAAGACGTTGGAGTATTATCTGGACAATGCTGTTGATTTAAGTGATACAAGTGGAACTACAGAGGTCAAATCTAAAAATAAGAAAAATTATATACTCGACAAACAATACAATTTCAGATCTGACGTTTATACATCGAAATTTAAATTTTCTTCTGGCAAAACAAAGTCTACAAAAGAGATAAAGTCCATGGATGGTTTAAAAATTGCATCGTCGTTTCCAAAATCGTTTCAACCCCGAAATAGAGTTAAAAGAACATCTAGCAAAGTAATAAATCAATCGTCGAATTTACAGACTCTTAAAATTCGGGAAAAGCTTATCGATAAATCAGAATGACAAGATGCGCTATCTAATCTTCAAATGCAATTGGAGCAGACGATTGATAATAGAACGCGGGAATTCTTGAATTACTCACAACGATGCGCATATAAGGCATTGAAGCGCTTGACGCTTAACAAAAATCTGAATTTCAAACCCGAAGTGTGGGAGGAAACGTCGGTGAGATCGCGCGTTTCCACTGACAGATCGATAATAGATACAAACGAATCAGACGTGGCTGAGAGCGAAAGTCCTGAATCCCGGACTCACATCCCAGAATTTCCTTTCTTACGCGAGATGCAAAGAAGATTGAGAGAAACGTGGGCTGCAAATATCGAAGAGCAGGGCGTTAAATATAAGCTGTTAAAGTCGGACTCCGACAAATCTTCCATGGTTCCCGCAAAATCATTGACGAAGTCCGCCTTTAGCACAAAGTTCGCTAAGTACGAAACCTGGGAAAATCGTTCGGCGAAACTCCTAGACGCTATTCCGAGGATTTCGTGCTTTCGACGCAAGAACCGTGATAGGTGCTTATCCTGCATGCATAAATCCCTGCGGAAGGCGAATGAAACCGAAGCTGTCTCCTCGCGAGCATCATTGCTAACGGAAATTGAAGCAAAAGACGACAGCGAGTCCAGCTCCGACGGACTTCCGGAATTTCGCGAGGAATTACGGAACATATTATATTCTCAGAGAAAGGAAATTCTGAGATATCCGGAAACGGTTGAGGATGGGTCAAGCAAATCAGCATCGCCGTCGCTTCAAGTGGAACAAGAAGGTACCAAGATTTCGATGCAGACCGATTCAATTCAATCTAAGGATAAAACACCGAAATCCATTGAAAGCCTGCTGTCTAAAGATCCAAAGAGCTTGAAAGCCACCTCCAGCTCGATCTCAATATCGTCGGACATTGAACGATCAAAAATTTCGTCCTCGGAGGCACATACCTCTGATGATGAGACATCATCCCCGCTGGCGCTGGATAATGATCCATCCCAATACAAAAACATGGCGCCCTGTCACTTACCTACGGTCTTGGTACCCAGCATGGAACCTTTGCGAGCTCTGAGACACAAAAAACCAATTACCATGGAGTCGCGAATCGCTCTCATGAAAACTGCGGTTTCGAAGGAGAAATCTGACGATGAATATTATGATGACGAAGAAACAACGAAGAAAAGACCGCCATCGGAAACAATCAGCGAGAAATCTGAAAAGACTGACGAGAAAAAAGATACGCTCTCGAAAACCTCGAGTGCCCTCTCGAAAGTTAAGTCGCAGCAACAGCTGATATCGCCAATCGTAGAATCTGCACGAAAGGGCGAGCTGAAGAGAGGATACAGTTACGCGAGCATCAAGGATTTATCGAAGGATTCTACGAGACGTACGTTCGAGATTCCTCGAGGCAAGGAGGAAGGTGGGCAAGGAAAGGTAATCCCCGTGGAGGAGATAGATTTCGCGAAAGGGTCGACTTCCTCCGACTCAGTGAAAGCGGAGAGGCGCGTGGAATTACCGCTTTTGACGATCGCTGAAGTCTCGCGATTTTTAGAGAAAGCTATTCGCGACGACACGTCGACCACGACCATGTTGAAGAGCTTGGCGAACGAATTTTCTTCGCGGATGATAAAACAACACAGCACTAGCATGACGGCGACAAAAAAGCGCGCTAAACTAGTCGCAAGATTAACGAAGTTACTAGTGGATTCGCAACGTTATTTAAATCCTGATAAGTTCCCGTCTGACCTTGTTTTTTCCACAAAACAGCCTCCCGCTTGCAATATTCGTCTGCTGAGACGTGCCCTGCCGCCTGATTCCTACAATCTTGTGGCCCCATTATTGGGTATGCCGATTTGGTACCCGACAAAAGAGGAAAAGAAAGAAGAAGAAGAAAAAGGAGAAGAAGAAGAAGAAGAAGAAGAAGAAGAAGAAGAGGAAGGCGCGATTCCCTTCGATTTGATTGTATGTATGTACATATATTCTGCAACTATCGGATATTCTATAATACATTCTATAACGAATTTAGATTTTTTTCAAAAAGAACTTCGTCGCAACTTTCAAATTTTTAACATTATATTTTCGTGTTTATGATCCTAATTTAATTTCTTTTAATAAAAATTAATTAAAACTAATTGGAAATTACATTCTCGCTACGTTATATATTTTTTATGTTCGATAAATTGATTATATAAGTCAAAAATGGAAATAAGTCTCTCATTTAATACTGTGAATTCTATTGTTACTCGGACACAGTACGCTTTGTCCGTTCGAGAGTTATTAGTTGAAAGTGAGCTTTTATACGCCTGCAGGTGCATCCCCCGACGACCAAAGACATTTCGAACGGAGATGAGCGTAAAGTAGGTCAAGTCAGATTGAATCCTTATGCTCTGTTTTTGAAGAAACCGCGGCGCAAGGTACGACATCGACAATGCGAAATAACATTATTAGTTTAGTACGCTAAAATCAGCTTCTACAGTTCCATGCAAAACTCTTGGGTTTCTTAATACCGAAGCCCACTGATCGTTACAGGTTGTCACTTGGCGTCCTTTAACGGCGGTCGATCTTAAAGGCTACGATCCCGAGGCTACTCTTGAGATGAAAGCCAGACATATTACGGACAGGATATGCCGTGACTTCTGCGAGTGGCTGCGTAGTTTAGGCGGCACCGACATGGTCATCGACGAGGAAATCCTAGGAGATATGTTCGAAATTGACTTTACGGCCGACGCCAGCAGAACGATGGAGGTACAGATAGAAACAAAGTGCATAGACGCATAGTGTATTGCGCTTCCATAAATGCGTTCTCGCGCGTGCACGCGATAGTCCTACAACGGCGTAACATCATAATGCGATGCATGATGTAACAACGATAACATGCACTTTGAGCGGTGAACCACACAACGCGAGATTTGAATTATAACTTCAACGCGGTACTAGAAGGCTGACCTGATTGCACGTTCGCATTTCTCAAATAAAGCTCGCCGAGTCTCTCTCGTGGAGAAAATGATATTTCCTTTCAATAGAAAAAACACAATTAAATTAATGACAGAAATTTCATTATCGTAAAATTGTTTTTTTCTTTTTTGCGTCTTTTTTTTTTCGAGAGTGTTAGAAATTCATGGCAAAAAGGAAACTTTTCTACGTTACGCCGGAGGGATATAAGAAAATAAAATATTCAATTATATTTGAGATAGATGTCAATAAGGGAAATGCCGATGGTACCTAACGATGTTGCCGCAGCGAGACAGTGTTTTGATGCAAGTGAGCTTGCCATGACCAAGAAGCATCTTATCAGAGATGCCAAAGCTGAGAGTAAGCCGACCAAAACAATGGCCTTTGGCACCGCGATTCCCTGGAAGCTCCGATTCGTGCCACCCAAAAATCGGGTGAGAGAGAGATGGCTGCAATGCGAGAACGTGATGACCGACCTAGAAACGATGGACGTGGTCTGGAAAAACATAACGGATCTGGAGAGCGTCAAGTTTTTCGCAAAATGGCTCAGTAAACGTACGGAAGTAAGTGCATAAGCAATTTTTACTCTAAACAATTACTTTTTTCATCTTGTCATTATACTTTTAGATTTTGCTACCGGACGCATTAAAAACCGCCATGCACTAAAAATGACCATCAAGTTTACAAAACACGCCAAAATTGACAAGACGCATTCGCAAATGAATGTCAAGCGGATTAGCGGCTTTAAAGTCCGCGACACCCTTCAGAGTCCTGACTCGTCCCGATTCGACGAGTAATTAACAGAAGCAGGGGAGATCGGAAAGCGCTTGGAAAGAAATTGTCGATAGACTCTCAAAGTTCCTGCATACTGGCGCCAAATACGTTCGTGTAACCGATACGACCGCATGATGACACGGTGCAGAACGCCCATTTCCTGTATGCGGCGACCGGTTAACCTCCGTATAGCCGCCGTGGACGCTTCAATTGCAAACAATTCCCGTGGAAATTTCGACAAACGTTCAATTACGGGACCTAATTTTCTGCTAATGATCGCCACGTTTCACTAATCCAACGTAACGTAGAAATCAAGTTTCTCGGGTTCTCCTACCTCGAATCAAAATGTATGGATCATTAAAAGGCGCGAACGGTTACCGGGCCATCATTCCTGATTTGGCGTGTAGATTGGATTAACAGTCCGATTTCTGTCTCTCCTACTCTCCCGCACGCTATACACACACGTATACTCGCACATGCACACGACAAATTAATTCATTGGCAACGCGGCGCACCGACTAATACTGTATTTCGCTGCACCAATTATCGATCACTCAAGTCTCATTGCATTGAACTCCATTAAATACGTGCACGTAATAACTGTAATGTTAATAATGTTATTCCCATAGATTAATAATAATCTCTTATCAATATAGAAGAGATAAGTAACCCGCGGAACATATATATTTCTCTTCATGTTGGAAACAAAAATGTCCTACGGTGCTTGACACTTCCGATATTTCTCGATTCCATTCTCGATTTAACAAGCCGAACGCCATTGCAAATGGCATTTTACATTATTACATCGGTAATAATATGTAAAGTGATCCTATAAAAAAAGAATGACAATGGCAAATAAAAAGCATGGATACCTGAAGCTGAACCATAGAGCCGACGATCTCGCATCGACGAGTTGTCTAGCAAAATAACGCAAACGAGCCGATGAAATATTGGAAACGTATCACGGACGCCGGATGTCCTGACAGTACTTCTGCTTACGACAGAAAACGCGCCTTAGACTCGCGGCAACTCGCGGTAGGAAAGAGAAAAAAAAGAGGGAGAGAAAAAAGTAAAACTCGCCTCATTCACGATACATCTTCCTTGGTACGACGTATCTCCCTACCATAATTTTCTTTTCGTTTTTCCGCGGAATACCACGATTCAAATTATATCGCGTCAACGAACGAAGAATCATTACGAGGCAACGAGGCATCAGGGCTCGTGACTAAAATCGTGGTTGGGGTTTTTTGCCCCGGGGATACAGGTCGAAAGTAAACGAGAGAGAGAGAGAGAGA